GTTGTCGTGTCGTCTGTAGTGTGTGTGTGTGTGTGTGTGTGTGTGTGTGTGTGTGTGTGTGTGTGTGCGTGCGTTGCGTGCGTGCGTGCGTGCGTGCGTGCGTGCGTTGCGTGCGTGCGTGCGTGCGTGCGTGCGTGCGTGCGTGCGTGCGTGCGTGCGTGCGTGCGTGCGTGCGTGCGTGCGTGCGTGCGTGCGTGGTATGAAGGAGTCCTATAGTTAAGCACCCTCTTGCTGCCTCTCTCATCATGAGGGGACATGGAGTTAAAGGAGATCGGAGGAGAGTCAAATAGTCTTTCTGTGTCTGTCTTTTTCGTCTCACTGCTTAGTGAGTGAGTGTGAGAAAAAAGAGGCAAGACACCTTTTGAATGTGTTTTTTAGAGCCGGTCTCTAAAGTGAACTAGCCGATAGTGACAGAGGAGAAGCGAAAAGACCGTTGGATGCCCAGTAGATCTCATTATCAGTCCACACTGTGTACAGTACCTTTCTTTACAGAGGCAGGCCGTGATCTGTCGACACAACTCTTGGCAGGCCAAAATACTGCTGTGGCCTCTGTGTGTGTGTGTGTGTGTGTGTGTGTGTGTGTGTGTGTGTGTGTGTGTGTGTGTGTGTGTGTGTGTGTGTGTGTGTGACACTTGAGCATATAAAAACACCCAGCAATGTAACAATCCTTTCTCATCGTCATTTATCGCCACATACATTTGCCCAAGGTAGCTTATGCCTTAGTATCAGCTTACCTTTACAAGACAGATGCCGAGGGGCGGGACAAAGGGTAACATCACTACCAGGGAATGACTCTGGGCGACAAATCCTGCTTACTGGCTGAGTTACACCTCATGTGGGGCCCAAAAGCTCTTTGTTAACGCCAAGAAACATGCCTAACACAGCAAAATAAGAAGAAAGGAGAAAATACCATCAAAGGGCAAGGTCCCATACAGACCTCCACACAGCTCTAGTGGGACATAAGTGATGACTGAGAGGGGTAATCTTTCTATAACCTCTACATTTGAAAATACTGCATACTATACCTTTTTAATAAATAATGAAAAATGTTAACATGGTGATGACCCAGCAGTTGCCTTAACACAATCATATATGTGAAAGAAACATACACTATTTGATGTAATTTCATTGTCTGGGATCCATTTTGTAATATACGCAGCGTGATTAATCTTGCCTTTTTCATGAAATACCTGAATTGGACCAAAGTGTGCGCAGCATTTCTTCTTTCAACAAAGAATTGCATCATCTTTTGGTTTGCTTAAGCCCTGTAATAAGTTCAGCTTTGATGCAGCCTTAAAGAACCAAGAAAGACCTAATTAAATATATATTTTGGTAACCAAATGATATGAATTTTGTATCGTGAAATCAATGTTACAGTGATGTTTTTGTCGAGCTACAGTGTTTACCGCGGGGTGTTCGAATGCATAAGGTTGCTACAGGCTTTGTATTTCCTGAGTACCTCTTGCTGTTTTCCTCATCATTTTGGAGGTCAAGCTGCCTGAATATCTAACCAAATTACACTCTTTTCCTGACTCTAATGTATGCACAGAGGTGAGGTCACTAACCCTCTTGTACATTATATGTTAATACATATTCATGTTTTCAAGGGTTCTTACCTGCTTCTCTCTTAGTTTCCGCCTCCCACACATGCATGAACACAATTAAAACAGAAAGTCACATCTATCAAGCAGTCATCTTCTGTGCGTCACCCTCCCTTCCTCTCTCCTCCTCTCCTCCACTTCCTCGTCCTGAAAATGTCCTGTTCTGCTTGGGGGATGGTTGTGTCAGATGTGATACATTCACCACCTCATAATTGGTTTTGTAATTAAATGTTTCTGCCTGGTTGATCACAAAGGACATAGTATTCTCTTTAATTAGGCTGAATATTCAATATCCAGATCTTTCCCCCCCCCTGCTTCTCCCTTCGCCTGTGTTGACCAAACGATTGTTGATGAAAGCAACAGTCTGCCTCGCTGTCACTCACTCTGCATATTCCTCATATTTGCCTTTGTGTCTTTATCTGTCTTTATCCCTCTTGTAATTGCCCTTTGCATGTTGTTCTCTGTCATTGTCTCCCCCATTTTCCACTTTTTCTTTCTCTCCTTATGAAAGCAGTAGAAAGAGATAGACAAAGGGTGAGACCTACCCCCTAAGTGGCTCAGTGCCAACACATCAGGCCATGGCAGCGTGGCATGTGCATGCAAACAGAGGCAATTCCATATAGAGCGCTTTTAAAGAGCGGTTGGGCATCGCTATAAGCAGCACTTAGCCAGATTGTTTGATCAATATTGCGTTGATCGTGCTCTCTGAGGAGCTCGGGGTTCTCAATCGTCCAAAACAAATGCCTTTTCTGGGTCAGACGGGCAGAAGATCAGTTTCACAACGCTTTTTCAGCTCCAAAGTTAATCAATTTAAAATACCACATGTGGAGTCCCTTTCCTTTGAGTTGTGGTCCTTTTTTTAAATCTCACCATAGTGTACCATGTTGCTCTGCCTTAAGATTCTTGAGTGTGATGTCTCTCATTAAATCTTTGTGCTTATTATACCTCCCCACACTTGGGACATTCCATTTCAAACTTAATGTATCTTTAAATAACGGCAGACATTTTTATATTCCCCCAAAAACATTTGAATCTATTCCACAACACAACGATCCGATGCAAGAACGCCAAAATCATCAACTATGGATAAAAAAAGCGTCTGCACACTCAGTTCTAATGCAACAATGTTGAGATGAACCAGAGTTTTCCATTCCTTGGCTTTTATATTGGCATTTATTGCGTTCCAGATGTGTGTGCAGAATTCATTTCCCTTAAGAAACTTGTGATACTTATTTCCTCTTCAATTTTATTTTGACCCAGGGATCTACAGCCAAGAATTTCCCATGTGCAAATATCGTTTTTCCAAATTGCCCTGATGACGGTTTAGTGAATTACTGGCTTTGGCATAAAATACTTGCATTAGACCAATTTATGCTGAGCCTTCCTCTCTTCCAACATATTCTTTTAAATATATGTAAATGTATTAATCTGATCATTCGCCACCGCTTTCTCAACAGGTTATCAGACAGAGAGCTTTCCAAGGGTGACTCAGGTTAAGTGTTGTGGTCGGCGAGTGTGTGAGTGCGTGTGTGTGTGTGTGTTTCCACGGGGGAGTGGAGCTCAGCTGACCTCACAATCTGCGGGTCTTGCTGCAGGTCGGCTCCTCCGCTGAGGCTGCCACATGGCTGACTGGACTGGAAAAACTCTGCTTTTCTCTTTCTGTCTCTCTTCACCTCACTCTCCCCTCTTGATTTTGTCCCCCTATCTCTATAATATCACTTTTCCCTCCCCTCGCTCCATCCCCTCTCTCTGGTGTCGGATGTTGGTTTGTGGCCTGTGGTGTGTTCAGTCCGAATTACCGTCAAACTAAGAAGAAGGGTTGCAGAGAGACGCGGATTAGCTTTAACATGCTGAGTAAGACCGCAGCACTCAGAACAGCACATTGCTGTTAATTTGGTACCGCCTCTGATTTATCCTCCACCCACCAGTGCACAAACATACACACTCTCTCTCCTCCTGTCACAAACAATCGCTGTTTTCAGACAAAATTGTATGTCAGGGATTTTTTCTGGGAATGACAAACCTGTTGTTAATGAGCGAAGACGAGCCTCTCCAAACCTTTGCGAGTGTGTATTGTGTGTAGACAGTACATGTGTGTGGGAGTGTTCTGGCTCAGTGGTAGCTTCTTGGCAGAGCAATGCTCTCCTCTCCCTGGTCGCTAACATCAGGGGACCAGCCAGGCATGTAATGGAAACTTTGGAGATTTAGAGGAGCAGCTTTCTATAATACGACCCCCTGATGTACTGCCTGAGATGGCTGCTATTGTACGAACATTGCTAAAACAAGTCATCATAACTTATTATATTTTATGAGTGTGAAACATGCTGTGGTTGCTCCTAACACAGGAAAATGAGAGGACGATTTTACGACGTATGCACCTGTTTTGTATTTTGCTCAGACCCACGCGGCGATGCTGATTGTAGCCCGAGGTGAAAACCCATTTGGTTTTTGGGATAAAGCTTCATCATTAGAACAAACATGAACCCTAGCTAAGGGCACATGAAAGTTTGTTTATCGTCTAAGAGTAAAGGTGGAGATCCGGACAGCAGATAGAAAGCAGATGCAGAATGTGGATGCTCCTCAGCTTTAATGGTGTCTGACTGCTGCAGGTTGTTTTGAGCAGATGTGTTGTAGCAACAGGGAACTTGTTGCCGAACCTCCAACTGCGTGTGTTGGATAACTTGCATGTATATTTCTATGATTGATTTTGGATAGGCATGCTTTCCATGTGTCCATGGAAAATGTCTGTGCCTGTGCCGAGAAGTGATAAATGCACTTACCCGTCCAACATCTGCATCTTTCTAAGATCAATAGACGGATTAAAAAGCTGCTGCGTAGGCTTAGTTTATTTAAATGCGGATATAGATATGTAAACTTGCACACACACACTTACCAGCTCCTGCTATCTTTTCACACTCCTTCTTTAAATCTCCCCTCCTTTCACAACTACGTCCATATTTGCACTCAGACGCGTTCTCCTGTGTAATTCATCTGAGCTGCAGATTAATTTTTCAGAGCCCAGGCAGCTCTGCCGCTGTCAGTAAGAGGAGGAGGAGGAGGAGGAGGGAAGAGGAGGAAGAGGAGGAGGGGGAGGGCTGCAGTCGTCTGGGTCTTGGGAGTGCTTGCCAGCCAGCACAGGTGGCGTTTTGTCTGGATTCTTCCCAGGGAGCGAGGGAGTGTAGGAGGCAGAGGGAGAAGGAGTCACCAGGACGTACAACGTTTAGATTTATATCTAATCACCTGATTCAGATCCTTTGTAATTGGTTTATTTTTTTTACGTGGAAACCAAAGTAAAATTTGACGCACTGAATTGCGTTCTGAATAAAGAAAGGCCTATACTTGGAAGTGCCAGATTGCTTCCTGGAATGGATGAATATGGTTTAATGAAAAGCACGTATGCAGCAGGGGACGGATTCTGTTGGTGTTGAAGTGCAAATGGCAACCCAGACTCAGTAGTTGAACTGTTATGAAGGATATAACCCTTGTTTTTGTATTCTGTAGTCATGAAATGTGTCATTTTCAGTGTGTAAGCGCTGCCAAATGCACATTGAGCAGCAACTTGGCTCTTCTGAGTGTGTCCTCCCCTCTCTCTGAGAGCCTGGCAGTTTCTCTGGGTTGTTATTAAGAGTGCTTCATCGCGCTTTGTGATTACAGCTCTGACCAGCCCGACAGACTGCAACCCCCCCGACAAACAGCATGCAAGTGATTCTCACACATGAGCCTGCATCTGTGCTGAGATACACACACACACACACACACACACACACACACACACACACACACACACACACACACACACACACACACACACACACACACACACACACACACACACACACAGGCAGCAGATTCCACCCTGCGAAGGCAATCAGCTGTCGGCACTTTTTGTCTTTATAAAGTCAAAGGTCATGTAAATTCCGGCACAGATTCACTGTTGATGGATTCTTTGTTTTCTCACCCTCATGTTAGTTTTTGTACCCAAAGCCCCTGAGACAGAGCTTCCCGACCCGGGATCGGGGCCTCCCAAGCAGTCCTAAAATAAATCTGAGGGGGTCACAAGATGGTGAAAGCAGGAACAAAAAACGTTTTCCTTAACTTAACTGTACATACGATAACTTTTCTATCCCATTTTACCTGTTTTTCTTGTGAAATACAACCCTTTATGCTCTACAATCCAACAAATCAAACAACCTGAGAGGAAATAACTCTTTAATCAGACGGCTGACAGCTCATGTCAAAGTTTTTATATACAAATAATGAATATTTTCACAACCTTTCTTCTCTTTATTAGTGCTATTTTAGTATATGTAAACGCTAACATGTTGTAATTGAGAGTGCGTTAGCTATCAGAATCAGAATTTGGTTTATTATTAAGTATGTTTTTTCCTTAAAATGAATTAGCTCTAGTATAATAAATGAACATATTAAGAGAAAATGTGATTAAAATACGAAACAAGAAACATAACAATGTAATATTATATAATTTTTTTTTTTTTTAAATGAAGATATGTACAACTTAACTTAATTAAAAAGAAAGACATGTGCACTTTTATGCATTTAAAATAGTAAAGTAATTAGTCAAAAGTCATGTAATAACAGTTTTTTTTTTTTTAAAGTTAGGCTAATATACAGTATACAGTAAGCAGTGTAAATGGATGGATAAAAGTAATGGCTTCATGGTTGAAATTATAAAATAAGAGGTGCTGTGTTTGCAGTATTGCTTGATCCTCACAGCAGTGCATATCAGAGGTTACTGTTTAATTATTCCTGCTAACACACCGACTCACTATTCGGTCCTTTTGTCGAGACAGCAGATTAACTTGAAAGTCATTTTTCTCAGTTCCACTACACCAACATTTATTACTTTTCAGCACTGTTGGGCTAAAGCAGCCATTAAGCCCTGTGGTGCTTACAAGACTTCTCATTTCAAAGAAAAGGCACGGAAGAATTAAACTGTGACTCGGGTTTATTTAGTCATTAGGTGGGCTTCGTCTAGTTTGACGCCTCACGGTGTGAAAATTAGCTTTAAATCTGTTTCTTGTTTTAAAATCCCGAGGTTGGTTTTGGATTACCGCCTGTCAATCAACAGCGGCTCTGTGTGTGTGTGTGTGTGTGTGTGTGTGTGTGTGTGTGTGTGTGTGTGTGTGTGTGTGTGTGTGTGTGTGTGTGTGTATGTTTGCATGTGTGAAGAGGGGTAGACAGTTAAAGTCTCTGCAGGCATACTCAGACTATATCAATGTGATTGACAGCGTTAATGGTGTGATAATTCAACACATCAGGCGACTGAAAAGCTTCATTTCACAGAGCGGTTTCGGATAATCAGTCTCTGAAAAATAAACTCAATTTTTCCTCTATTCTCTCCATCATTTTGCCTTTCTTCCCTTCACTTTCACCCCTCCTGCATATTAAGCTCTCCCTCTCTTTGTGTCTGTTTTGTTTCTGCAGGATGAATGCCGTAACTTCATGAAGGTGCTGCTCCGCAGACCGGGGGGACTGTTTGTGTGCGGGACCAACGCCTTCAACCCCCTCTGTGCCAACTACACTGTGAGTTAACTGCAAGAAAACTTCACAATAATTGCTTTTACGTCTGTTCTGCCTAAACAGAGGCCTCGCTTCCCAAACTCAATCAGTGAGTCTGTTCAGGTGAAAATGTACAGCTTGATTAAAGGTGATTGTTCAGCATTTTGTTGCCTTCCTCCCCAGGACTTACTTATCCCTGTCTGGCAGTTCCAGCGCCATGTTTTTCCTGAGATACAACAGTTCTTTCTCGGTGGTTAAACTTTGCGGTCTGCCAGGCTTGTTATCGTTGAGAGTCAGAGACGGATAATCAAGAAAAACACAAGAGTGGAGCGGGCGGAGGAGGGTGGATACATGATGTGTTCACCCGCTTTGATTTCTTTTGCTGGTGGTTAAGAAAGCAGAGCTATTTCCCAGCTGGAGGCAGAAGTTTAGAGACTCCAGGGTTCAAGCATTGACTGTAGGAGTCGACTGACCTGAATCCATTAGCCACAGTGTCCTCTGAATATTCCCTCAACTCTGTCCAAGTTAAATAAAGAAAATGTCAAATTAAATCACTCCATTTCCACCATTTACAATGTATCTCTTATGAAGGCAATATTTAATACAGGCTCTTTATACCTACACGAGTATATTATAAACTGTGCTTATCTTTGACCAGTTCAAATCTAGTATAACTCGGTATTTCACTCCCTATCAAGCCTGGATTACATGTAATCAGGGTACAAAAAAAGGTAACTGTATTCCCTGACAGTTACATAAAAAAAGGTGATCAGATAACTGTTACAATAGGGACTACTAACAGGAATACAATGTTACAATTACGTTTAAAACATAGAATCCATATATTCATTTAAAAATGTGCATTTATATAGCTGTACGTATTAAAGTAAAGCGGAGCATTTTCTGTTTGCTTATATTTTATTTTTGCCTTATTTACTGTAGATGTGCACTTTTATTGGTATTGTATTTATTTGCATTGCATTTGATATTGACTTAAGTAACAGGAAGTAATCAGGTTGCATTACTTGTATACTGTATACCTATTTAACAGGTAACTAGTAATTGTAACAGATTACATTTTTTAAGTCCAACCCGGCTCACAATATATATCTCCTGATTGCTATCAGGGATATATTAGTATACATTCATTAGTGACCATCTAACTTCTACAGTCATCCTAAAACTGTATACACATTATTAGTAACAACTAGTGAACATCTTATCTCTGAGGAGAAACATGGATTTCTATACATTCATATTAATAAGCCTTACATAACGGATGATTATGGGTTGGCTGAAAACATATTTTTGTCCAGTCCCTGAGCCTACAGCCCACTCTGCTCCATTACAGCAACCATTTCAAACTTTTGGAAGAAAAACCAGACATTAATGTTAATCGTCGACTTATTTCACATCATTCTGCAGAACAAAAAAAAATTCCTTTCACTATGAAAGGCTTTTTCAGATAAAGTGTTATTTTCAGTCTCTCACATTTCAAACATTCTGAAACACCGAGACGTACCTGGCCTGTTATCTGTCAGCCACTAATGACATTCTACAACAGTGAATAACACACCTGTCTCTGCATGATAGGCTGCCGTGTCTCTGGAGACCAGTTAGCACCGCTAGCTGCTGTGTTATTTATAGATGTTTTTAATGAAATGACACATAAATAATTTCCTTTTCAGCCGTGAATGAGAATTAGACTGTGCTGCTGAAATCCGCTGCTCTTGGCTACCATCTAAGTGTGTGTGTGTGTGTGTGTGTGTGTGTATATGTGTTTGTTAGCCTCTATGTGTAATAGAGAGAGAGAGAGAGAGAGATGCAGAAGAGAGATTTTGCATCATGATATTATGTGTGTGTGTGTGTGTGTGTGTGTGTGTGTGTGTGTGTGTGTGTGTGTGTGTGTGTGTGTGTGTGTGTGTGTGTGTGTGTGTGTGTGTGTTTGTGTGTCAGAGGGAAATCTGTTTACAGCCACAGTGACAGACTTCCTAGCCATCGATGCGGTGATCTACCGGAGCCTTGGGGACAGTCTCGCGCTGCGCACCGTCAAGCATGACTCCAAGTGGTTCAGAGGTACCTGCAGATGTGTGTGTGTGCACCAGAGGCTGGAGTTTTGAGTGTGTGTCCACATCACTTAGCTGCATGCAGGATCGATACTGGTGTCAGTAGAAGCACTGAGTCAGCAGCCTGACAACTCCACGTTCAGCTCATCGGACAGGGAAGCTGTCAGACGTACCGCTGCTCGACAGAAAATCCACATCACAGTCGAACCCAACTATAACCACGAGACAGTAAAAACGAATCGGACACACAGGTTATAGCTAGTCCCGGGTGTAAAAGCACCAAAATGCATAGCGTGAAACCGAGTTCTGAGAAGCATCAGGGAGTCATAATACGCTTATTGTTTGGTGTGAAATCCCCTTTCACCATGTAATTAAATTAAGCATGGCCTGTGCCTCTTTCTCACTGCCCTAATGGTACCTCGTGGGAGTGAAGGATGCATTTGCAAATGGAGACACTGTTTGCTGTTTGCTTTTCTCTTTGCACCATCCATATTTCATGATATTTCCCTTCCTCTCGTTTTCCCTCTCTCGCAATACAGAGCCGTATTTTGTGAGTGCCGTGGAGTGGGGACCTCACATCTACTTCTTCTTCAGAGAGATAGCCATGGAGTTCAACTACCTGGAGAAGGTATAGGAGTCACTCTGATGAGAAAAATATCCTCCTGTCCTTCTGAACTCTCAGTATTCACACGGTCCATTCAGAGCATCTTTTAAAAGGACTGTGGAGGAATGTGTGGTTAAAATGCAACGCCATAAACAATTAAGTGCTTCTCTAATACCGCTCCGCTGCTATTATTTGAATGTCAATATCAACTCTTTTCCCACAGCTGCACTGACCTTTCATCCTTGTATTTATTCGTCTGCATATCTAATCCAATAAATAGTGGTTTGAGTAAACATTTCATGTCTGTATTGACCTGAGAAAAAGCGATTGAATTGCTTTGTACATGGTCCAACCTTACCAGAGCTGGAGATGCATCATTATAAAAAATTATATAGATCAGCATCAGGATCTTCTCTTAAAAATTAACAATTCTCATTTGGGGATAAGTGCCTGCACGAGGTCTTTGACATGTGTACAGAGATCAGAGTAAATGGATACTTAAACACCGTGTGGGTGAGGATGTTCAAAGAAGCAATTTTTGAAATGCGCTGCCATTTTTATGAATAATTGATATTAGATGTTAGCATTATAAAACAATGATGTGTCGAAACAAACAGTTGCAAATAGCATGTAAATGACTCGGGAGAGATCGCTCTGAAGTTCCAAACACCTTTTTAAATGTGTCTTTTTGAAGATGAAACACAAAGCTTACACCCCCAGCGTATCATTTGATTTATATATGAGCTGTGCTTGTACAGATACACCTGTCTGAATTTTCATTTTCTCCTCTGTGCCTCATGACTCACAGGTGATGGTGTCGCGCGTGGCGCGGGTGTGCAAGCGTGATCTGGGAGGGTCTCAGCGCGTCCTGGAGAAGCAGTGGACGTCGTTCCTGAAGGCCCGTCTGAACTGCTCCGTCCCCGGGGATTCCCACTTCTACTTCAACCTGCTCCACTCCACCAGCCCCATCATCAGGATGCACGGCAGAGACATCATCCTGGGGGTGTTCTCCACACCGTCAAACAGGTACAACATGCAAATAAACTCCTGTTATCCAGAAACACCGAAATAATGTCACTTCCCTCTCAGAAATGTGCTCTCAAGGGGGGGTCCAAGTGGTGGTTTCCTGTACTTTTTACCATCAACCCTGCTGTATATACTTTTGATCTTTTACATACTTTTAGATAACTCCTTGAAGTCGTACTTTAAGCTAAGTATTTCAAAGGTTATTCTAACTTTTGCGTTAGACTATATTTAACAGTTTTTCTTTTACTGTATTTATTTTAACTTTTCCTTATTAAGGCTTACTGTTTTAATGTGGTTATTTTATTTATTTTCTAACTATATCCTTCCCAGGGACTACAGATTAATATCATCTCATTAGGTTATCGAAAGAGATTATTGTGCATTGACCCAGGTAATTAAATACATTCACACACAAATAGCTATAATAATAATAACTATTTCAACTTACTCTCTATTTTAACCATTCATCCATTACTTTTTCTCTATTCAACCAATTGAAGTGTTTTTGAATGACTTTTTTCTAACACTTTATTTTAACTATTTAAAATGGATTTACAGTTTATAATTTAGCCCTTCTTCTCCGTTGTTCTTCTTGTTTTTTAATTACTCAAAGCTAACTATTTTAACCATTACTTTTTGATATCTATTTGAATTGGTTATCAGTTCATTACTGCTCCACAACCTTTCCACGTTCTCTGACAGGAGTGCAGACCCTGGATAGGAATCTTTTATCCAGATCAATACCTTACCTGTCTGCCTTCAAATGAGAAGCTTTATTTGACTGCATGTGTGGTTAAAGTACGTGCTCAGAGTGCTGGTGTGGCCAGACTGAAGTGGAAGGGATTTTCTATCTGTGTCCTCGCTAGGAAAAAGACAAAAGGGGATTCAATCACCCTGAGAGTGTTGTTAAGAAATACACAGACGTGGCAACACATCTTGACACACTTCCCATGGAGAGGGGAATAGACACCCAATGTGAAGCAGAACTCACACTGCTCACCTTGAAAACTTAGCAGACCACCATAGTCTGTTCCCTCTGCGATGAAGTCGGAAAAGAGCAAGGCTTCCTACAGGCCAGGCAGACCTCAGGAGAGATGAAAGAGGAGCAGAGGTCCGGAGCATGGGGTACAGACTAATTTAAGACACATGGAAAGCTTTCATTGAGGACAAAAGGGTGATTTGTTGAAAGACAAGATTAAATTGAAAAAGGGTGAGAGGCGAAGAGAGGAAGAGGAAGGATGCTGCACAGTAAATTGGGGATTATTGAAGACTGTGGGTAAAGACAACACACACACACACACACACACACACACACACACACACACACACACACACACACACACACACACACACACACACACACACACACACACACACACACACACACACACACACACACACAGCAAACTGAGGCTGAGTCTGGAGTGTGAGCAAAATATTTATGTGAGACACACATACCTCATACTTAAAATCCTGAATTATGGAGGAAATTAGTTTCTGAATAGAGAGGCAATAATGTTCTAGTGTTGAGTTTTGTATTATCAACATTAGAAAGAAAAATGTAATCCTAATAATCAAATCAATCAAATAAGCCCTCTGGGTTCTGCCGTTAACACTTTCCTGTAGTGTGTTATAGTGTTGTTTGTGCCTCTAAATGTTTGTGGTCAAATCCTCTAAGTTGCCCAGGGATATACAGTATATATAGCCTATGGGATAAACATATTTTGTCCACTTTACAATGATGTATTGCTACAGCATATTGCAGTATAAGTGGCTCAAATTATACAAAGTATTCAGGAAACTTTTTCTGTGATATCTCACTTCTGGAAACTTAATAGCCCTTACGGTGTCTAGCACTGCAGGACATTGTAGAAAACATATAGAAACACTTTGAGACTAGTCTGGAATCAATACAGTGTCCCACTTAAATGCAGCCAGCAGCATAGTCATCATTGTCAAAGATCCCAGTATTATACCATCTCTTATTGCTTTTGTATATATTGAGATTCTAGTTGCAGGGCAGTGTCTCAAAGCAGTGGGTAAAGGACAGAAGAGAAAAGGAGAGCAACGAGTGGATATAAATCAGAAAAGAGAGAAGACAGAAAGGAGAATTAGGAGGGAGATGGCGAACAAGAGGGGGGAGATGGATGAGAAACTCAAGGACGAGGAAGTCAATAATGGACAACACGTGCATCCCCTCCCTGCTCTGAGATCTAAAACGGTTTCATCAGCTGCATCTTATCTGTGTGTTTGGAAGAACTACGCTGCGAGAGAAAGCCACCGCCTGCAGAGACAGATGGATGCTTCACACACATAAACACACACACATGCACAAACATGCTCACAATGGTTCCCAGATAACAGCATTTGCAGCATGCCAGCGAGGAGAACCAGCTGAACACACACACCCTTGCTTGGGTAAACTGCCACTGGGTCCGGTTTTTAAATAACTGCCAGCCAAGAGAAAGCGAAAGGAGGGGGGGGGTTTGATGAATGGATAAGGAGACGTGTGATGGAGGGAAATAAGCATTAAGAGAGGGAGAGAATGTGTGAGGTGAGCTGCAAAACTCCCAGTGGCCCACTGTGCCACACTGGCGAAGTGCTTGCCGGACAAATTGCTTTGGCTGGCAGCGTGCAGGGAAAACAGCATGAGGCAGGACCTGGGAGTAAAGGAAAAGCTATTCTCTCCTGCCAGTTGGCCCCGGGCAGCATATATGGGACTGTAGAAATGGGAATAATGGGATGAAATTGAGGTTTAACTGGCCCTCCTAGAGTCTCCCCTGGACCCTGAGAAGTTACTCATCTCCTCCTGCGCTCAGCATACTCAAGGAATCGTTTTGCAGGCATAAACCAGCTCCTGAAATCTTATGAAGTTGCGTGTGTAGGATCATTCACTCTTTACTGTCAGAGTAAAAATCACCTCCAGTTGTCAGTTCCTGCGTGCATCCACCTCTGAAGCCCCAGGCCCTTCCTTTCAAAACTGGATGAAAGAAGATCTCGGATTTCCTACTGAGCACCTCCTGCACTCGCACTCCTGAAGCTCAAGAGGTCAAGGAGGCACCGGGAGCAGCAGCTAACTCAAAAGAGGGAGGATACAAATATGAGACCTTTGGGGAGAAGGATAGAAAAGTAGCTTTAATCAGCAGCTCAAAAACGTTTTAATGCTGCCCTTGTAAACAACAGCAGCAAGATGTTTCATGGAAGTCTTAGCGTCACCACACATCCTTGGACAAGTACAAAAAACAAACAATTATTTATTTGCTTTTGTTTTGGCAGCTGAAAATGTCTATTGCTGCTGGAGCGGACTAACGTGGTCTCATTAGGCTTAATGGAGCCACGCAGGAATGCAAGAGAAAACATCTCATGCAAAGTAAAATAAATCTGGTGCATCGTGAACGTAGGAGGCCATGTTTGTTTTCAGTCTTAAGGAATCCCATGTCCCATGTCCTGGGGTCAGACAGATGTGAGACCCTCTGGGTATACACAGCAGAGGAGGGGAAACAAGGAGGACAAGGAGCACAGGAGAACAGGTTCACTGTTCCAGAAGAAGTGTGACACAGGAGGATGCACAGATGTGCGCGCTAGTCCCCCCGGGGCCGAGACAAGTAGAGAAAACAAGGGGATACATAGTGAGCTATCTAGCTAGGGCTTAAGAAATAGACTTGGGGAGGGAACCCATGTGTATTGGACAGCAGGGGCCCTTGTCACACGGAAAAACTGAGTTTTCACAGGGGTCCACATGAGCCTGGATACTCTGGACGTAGAAAAAAAGGAAAATCTACAGAGAGCTGATGTGAAAAGGTCAAAGAAAAATATGATAAATTAGGGTTGCTAATACAAAAAAGAAAGTAGATCAGTGGAGAGGTGTGCAGGAGGATAAATCATATTTTTTAAAAGAAGTTAAGGCTAGAAGTTCAGGCGAGGTAAAGAAAAGTCTTATTATTAGCGTCTAAGTTTAAAGGTTTGAACAGCTTCACTGGTTTAATATGAAACTTTTTGTGATGTAGGTTTGATTCTGAGCTATATTCTTTCATAACTGTAAATTGGTCTGCGCTGGAGGACTATTAAAAATGATGAAAAATACATTTATATCCCAGTGCCCGATAGTATGTGTGCTGAAAGATAATAAGTGTAGAAGCGATATATTTGCATACTGAATAGCTGGAGTTTGAAGGATTGAATGTCTGCTCTGTAACAGACTTTTATAGCATCCAATTCCAGGCAAGAAAACAAATTTAGTACCGAAAATGTCAAACTTTGTCTCTAAAAAAACCAGTGGAGCCTTGTTTCATCGAACTAACAAAACACATTTTGAGTAGATTGGACCAGAGGTCAGTAAGTTTAGTGCTGGCCATGTCCTTTGCAAAGTTTATTCCATCATGTTTTATCTGATTTTGCTCTAAAACGTTCACAAAGTTTATCTGAAAGCCCTCTGGATCCATTCTAAGATAGTGGAAATTTAAGTCAAGCCTATCCATGAAGTTAACAAAAACAAAGCCTTAAAAAAATATAATGAAAATGATCCGGGACAATATACAAAGACCTTCTGAGAGAAGTTTGTACAGTATACATACAGAGAGTCAGACTAAGTGTGTAGGATTTCTGACCTTTAAATGTTTGAACCTTTTAACCGCAGTGATAAAGCTCCCATGTGATTATTGATACCATATTTCACATGGTCTATGTTTACTTAATACATCCCAACGTTTTAAAAGTTAAACCCCCACAGGATTGACATTGAAACTTCCCCTGACTCCCACTTGTCTCTCCTTATCCAACCTGACGAGGCATCACGTGTCTGTGAGGACTGTTTGTGTTATTCCAAGCTGACGGAGAGCTTGTTAAACAGTGAGGAAGTACTTCAGACTCCTCGCAGTCCTCTCTAACGGACAAGCTATGTATCTTCTCTGGACAGCCTGTCCCTCAACGCAAGTCTATAGGCGCGTTCACACCAAGTACTTTTCCCACAAAGGTTCCTGAGAACTACTATTTAGTTGCGTTCACACCAAAAAGTCCCAGGAACTAAATTAGTTCTAGATAACCTTTTTTACCCCCTTTTCAGTCCCTGCTAGAGAGCAGGGACTTTCGTGGGAGAAAAAGGTTCCTGTGTCTGATTGGCTGGGCGGAATGCAAACCACGCCCCGTCAAACTCCCAAAAACGTTTGTGAAGCCGCCATTTTATTATCATTATTAGCATTAGCATTAGCCCAGCGCAGAAACGCAGAGAGACTAACTTATGACAACACTAAATAAAACATGGGAGCGGTGGAGATGAGGAGGTGTCGGCGTTCTGGCCGTTTACTCGGAAGGCTTTAGTAGAAGCTGCTGGGAGTCCCAACAGCTTCTACTAAAGCCAGTCCCTAACTCCGGGGACTTCCGGCCAGGGACTTCGGGTGGCAGTATACGCCGTGAAGTTGTTTGCGGCCTGCCAGTAAACCCAAAGCAGAAGAAGAAGAAGTGACGTCAGCGGCTTCATTTGCCTAATCCACCCCCAGGAACTAATTTCCGGTGTGAACGCGATCTGTACTTAGTTCATGAGAACTAAAGAGTTCTCAGGAACCTTTGTGGGAAAAGTACTTGGTGTGAACGCGCCTAAGGAGAAAGAGTGAAGAACGAGTGGACAGAGAGAAAGAAAAGTGGTCGGAATTTGGGAAAATGGAAGTCGTTTACAAGAAATCGACACACATGGATTACAAAACAAAGGAAGGAGAGACTATAAACAGTGGAAATGTAATTAATTAGCCAACATTCAGCGGGAAAAACCGCCAGAGGCCTTTTGGCTCTCTCCTGCGAAACCCAGCGCCCGACGTGGGGTAGACTCAGTGACCTGCAGGCGGGTGGATAAGGTAGAGAAAAGGAGGCCAAGCTGGCACCGTGCAGGGCTGGCAGACATGTCACACATAACATCTGGTGCCGGCGGCCCAGAGGGAGGCGGCGTATCGGATCCGCCTTCAGCTCCGCCACGCTGGCCGGGGTTGAGTCACATCCCTGCCCATGAATGATAAGTACTGAGGGAGACGGCGTGACCTGATCAAATGGCACGACTCCCCGCTGCAACCCGAAATCCAGCCTGCGGGTGCTGCCTTACCAAACAAACCCTTCAGTGGCTTTCAAGGGGGCACTCAAAAGCAGCACGGCTCAGAATCATGACCATCAAACGAGAAGGAGAGAAACAGAGATGTGGGATTTTGTAGCAGCAGGTGGAAAGTGACTCAGTCTCTCAGGTTTTCTCAATGCGTGTATACGGTATTAGCTCTTAGTCACTAGCTCTCACACCACGCACTCCATTAGTCATCGGCGAGGACACATCCAGAGCAGAGAGGCGGGACTCGGAGCGTGAAGCATGGGATGTTGTTCAAAAACCCATTCCTTATCTTATCCTCACAATCCTCTCTTTACTTCTGTGTTTGATGTAGCATCTCAGTGCGGAGATAGTGTGTCTTCGTATGAGTTCGTCTCTGTTTGTTGGTGTGTGCATGTAGGATATGGACACTTCCCGGAGCAGATGTTGTGTTCCCTGTGGTAGGGTTCACGAGCAGTTGAGCAGCCTCCGATTTTTATTCGGATGTGTTGTAAGGATTAAAAGAACCCCCTCCCCACCACAAGTTGTGAAAGGGAAAATATTCAGTGACTCATTTCCTTTTTCCTTTTATATTCCAGGAATTCCAGCCAAGATCTTTTCATGTGTCTAATCTAGCTATTGCATCCGCCGCATGTCTATTCTTCGCCCACGGAGTTGACGACGTCTATCTTATCCAGCCTTTCTATCCGTCTCAGTAACAATTTCCTTTGTGTCGAAATGTTGAACGTCAAAATAGGAACAGCCCAAATCCAATTTGTCACCTTTGCTGGAAGCCTTTCCCTTTTTGCACAGTCACAAAAGACTTTCTACTTTTAAACTTCTTTGCTTTTTCACGTTTCACAGCCTATTTTTCAGTGATGGTATTATTATCTAGCTTTTATTCTGACATGTATTCATTCTGTAGCTACTGCTGTTAGAAAGTAGAGCCTAACACAGGACTTAGAGTTCTTTCAAAGTGTTTTATCAGTTGATGTCTCACCTATCTGTCTCATCTCTTTGTCTCACCTATCTGTCTCATCTCTCTTTGTCTCACCCTCTGTCTCCCCTCTCTGTCTCATCTCTTTGTCTCCCCTCTGTCTCATCTCTCCGTCTCATCTCTCTGTCTCACCTCTCTGTCTCACCTCTGTCTCATCTCTTTGTCTCCCCTCTGTCTCCCCTCTGTCTCACCTCTCCGTCTCATATCTTTGTCTCACCTCTCTGTCTCACCTCTCTGTCTCCCCTCTGTCTCCCCGCTGTCTCACCTCTCTGTCTCTTGTCTCTCTAGTATCCCAGGTTCGGCGGTGTGTGCCTTTGACATGGAGCAGCTGGCTTCGGTGTTTGAAGGGAGATTCAAGGAGCAGAAATCATCTGAGTCCATTTGGACACCTGTTCCAGATGACTTCATCCCCAAGCCAAGGTGCAGAGAGCTGTAATACATGTATACACACCTGTGGTTAGACTGCTATCAGAGGAATACTCTAAGGCCCCGGCCACACGAGGACGAAAACGGTCGTTTGCGTTACTGTTTAGTGTCATATAGACCGTTCGGCCACACGAGGACGACCGAATATGACAGTAAACAACTGCGGAAACGATAACGGGTCCCAAGGTGGATAGCACGGCATACGCAACGCTCTGGGGGGGTCCAACGGCTCCGTGTGTAGGACCTATAGGCCTACGATCATTTTCTGATAATGATGACGCAATATAGCCCCGCCTCTCCCCACCTCTGCTGCTCACCCCCGCGTCAAAGTAAACTGCACACTGAATTCAGATTATTTATCTTTCTCTCGATATGGACATAAACGCGAGTGAAGTCTAATCTGACAGGACGGAGACACGCAGCTCTGCTCACCTGCAGCTCCTCCCGCTGTGATGCAGCGGTGAACGGAGCAAAACACACACTTCAAGTCAGATCATCTCCCTTAGCTATTTTAATTACCTCTCAGACTACCTAAACTAGTTATAAATATGTTTATTTTACTGTCGGGTCACTAATTACTGGATCCGCTGCTGCATGAGACAGACACTGACACTGTCCGAAGAGAGGGAGGAAAAAGAGAGGCTCNAATTTTACAATGTTAGGCTATAAAGGAACTTACAGCACGTCACATTGACTTCACGTCACACGCTAAACGTAAAGGCGGCTAATGTTGGCTATAAGTAACTTACTCACGTAGGGCTGTACCCGAATATCAAAAATATTAGGTTCGTTGATACTAATTTTCAGATTCAATTTCGTTATTCGGATAATCGTTTTGTTTTGTTTTTTCGTTTTTCCCGTTTTTTTCAAACTTGAATTTATGAAATCTCCAATATCAAAGTAAGAGTTGTGCCTCTTTGGGGGGTGGCTAGCGCCCTTACCATAAACGTATTGTTTACTTTCTCCGTCTTAATGTAGATATTACTTTTCTCCTTAAATCTCCTCACGTTGATTTCCAATAGCCAACAACATTCCTGTCAATAGCCTACCTCTCCTTCAAAATAAAAGCATGTCCATCACACAATAGGAAGCAGCCAGAATTACACTAAAGGAATACAACTGCAACAAGTACAAACACAATATGATTCCTTTTTCAATCAAAGAACACAAATTGGGTTAATTAACAAATAACTATTAAACAACAATACTGTAGAACAGGGTTGCATTGCACCCCACAGCTTCCAAAAGTTCAGGTGTTTGAACCAGTCTTATTGCCTGTGGATGAAACTGTCCTCTGAGTCTGGTGCGTTTTAGTCCGGATGCTGTGGTACCGCCTGCAGACGGCAGCGACTGAACAGTTGTGGCTGGGGGGGCGGGGTGGGGGGGGGGTGATGGTGGTCTTTGCTAATCCTGAGGCTTTCCTCCTGAGCGCTGGGAGTAAAGCGTCCTCCATGTGGCAGCTCCGTACACTGGTGATGTGCTGTGCAGTTTCACCACCCATCTGTTTAAGCCGGTGCAGCTGCCGTTACCAGGCCGTGATGCAGCCGAGTCAGGGTCCTCTCTATGGTGGGGGTACCTTTAGACGATTGAGAGTATCCTGGAATTCATGTTGAACTCCTCAGCATGGGAGGAAAAGCGCTGTCGAGCTTCTGGTGATGGTGGTGGTGTGAAGAGTCCATGTCAGGTCCTCAGTGATGTGGACCCAGGAACCTGAAAAAAAAGCTGCTGACTCTCTCCCACCGTATCCCATTGATGGCGATGCGGCGTGTCCCTCTCTCTGCTGCTTCCTGTAATCCACAATCAGCTCTTTGTTGCTGAGTGAGATGGAGGTTGTTGTCCTGGCACCAGATGTAGGTTTCAACCTCTCTCTGTACGCCGTCTCGTCGCCGTCTGTTATCTGGCCGATGACAGTTGTGTCGTCAGCAAACTCACGATGTGTTTGGGCTGTGTATGCCACGCGCAGTCGTGTGTGAACAGGGAGTACGAGGGAGGCTGAAGCACGCAGCCTTGAGGGGCTCCGTGTTGAGGATCAAGAGTGGAGGATGTGATGTTTCCAACCGCAGCTGCCTGGGGTCTGCCGTCAGAAGTTCGGATCCAGTCACAGAGGGGCGCTTGTTGAGCCCCGAGGTCTCTGAGCCTTGATGGACAGCTTGGAGGGCACAATGTGTGAATGCTGACTGTTCACATGAACAGCATTCTCACATAGTTCCTCTGGTCCAGCGTAGTGAGGGCAGTGTGATGTGAGGGCTATGCGTCGTCTGTGGACCTGTTTTCTCTGTAGCAAACTGCAAGGGGGTCAGATAGTCGGGAGGGAGGACGGTGCATGAAGGTTGAACTAACGCTCAGCACTTCATGGATGATGGAGGTGAGTGCTACTGTGGCGGTAGTGGCTTGAGCTCGGTGATTTGTCTTTTTGGGGACGAGGACGATTGTGAGGTTTGAAGCATTGCTCGGGGGACTACAGAACTGCAGCAGGACCTGTTGAAGATGTCTATGAACACCATCACAGCTGAACTTGCACACGGCCCTGACGGTGAGAACACGCCAGGGATGCATAGGTCCAGGAGCCTTGTGTGGGTTACCCTTTTAAAGGATTTCACACGTCTGTCCTGTTTATAAAAAAAGTGCAGGGCTCTGGACTCCTGGTCCTCTGTGCCTCCACAGACTGGCCTGCTCTCAATCGTGCAAAAAGCCATTAGCTACATTCTGGGAGAGATGCGCAGCATGACACTCCGCAGCACCCCGCGGCTGCTCCTTGTAGTCATTGTTCTCAGCCCGCCCACACTGGTTCCGGGTGTTACGACTTTGAAGTCAGATCCACCTTGTCTTTGTATGTCTCTTTGCGGCGCCTGAATGCTTCGGAGTTCACTAGCCTAGAATTCCTCCAAATCTCCAGCTCTGTGCACGCTTTCAGTTGCCAAGCCCTCGCACTTTTTAGCGAACCTCCATGTCTTTACTCACGGTTGGGGGTATTACTCTGATTTATTTATGTCATGGAACACAACGTTAAAATCTCTTCAGCTTTGTGTTAACTACTGATCGTTCATTAGTTGTAACAACCAAAATATCACATTCAGGTTAATTACCAAGGACTTCAAGGACAGGGATTCAGGACTCTGATTCTGCCTGTCGGAGAGATTATGTGCCTTTATCTGCAGGCAACTAACTGGGACGGAGTATTGAATGATGCTGGCTCCTCTGTTTTCATTTTATTGAGTAGCGTGGTCTGGTCGTTCTTATTAACATCGTTCTCATCGTCTCACTTAGAGGCGGAAAACACTGGTAATGAAAGAGTCGGGGCGGTTTGTATTCAATGACTCCGCTAGTGCATGTACATGAAAGAGTGTCGTTTGTGTTCATAGTGTTCACAGCAGACGGTGGTAGAAGCGTGGGTCGGAGACGTCTGCGCGTATTATTTATTATATATATATTGAAGCACTTACAAATGGACCTGTTTCTATTCGTGCAACCCTCTAAAACATTCTGTCCCTTAGTCACAACATTCAAGATTTGATCATGACAACAATAAGGCTTTCAGACAAGGCGGATATTATCTTCCAGGGCTATTTATTGAAACGGTCCTGAACAGAAGCAGTGGATCTGTCTTATGGCGACGGTTGTAGGGCAGTAAGGCTGTTTTTATTTGACCCTTCTGTATAATCTCAGTACCATCATATGCTATATGTTGAATAATTCATTTGTCTTAAATATTTGTTTGTATAGCTTTTTACTTACTCGTTCATCAATTCCAATGTCACTACTTTGCTGTGGATCGACTTCTTCTTACTACACGCTCTCTCTCCTGGCAGTGCTATTCAGTTGCTTTCACCAACACTTTCATTTGCTGTGCAAAAGTAAGAAAACTATCTGCAGTTATCCTACGCGCGATCTATCCTTTCTCCAAGGCGCGATTTAGCGTCATTACTCAATCTAGACCAGGGGGATGTGTGAGATAAACATATGACTTTAGGACCACAGGTTTCACACATGTATACATTAAGACAATTGGGTAACATATGAAAGAACAGAATATAGCAAACTACTGCCGGTTCCCTCGGCCCCACCAAACGGATAATAAACAGTAAGGGCAACCATGACACCAGGCTTCTTCGCTGCTTTTGGACGCACTCACCGCGCCACCCGGTGCGCACTATGTACCCTGCCGCACGGTCGCAGCGGTTGGAGCTAAACGGAGCTGCTGCTCGTGTGGACAGACCTATCCGGTTAACATGTGTGTGGACGGAAGCTTTTTGCGATTGCGTTTGCGTTAATCCTATGCGTTTAGCCGTATGCGTCCTCCTGTGGCCGGGGCCTAATGTACATCAATCTGTATTCATTCTGTCACAATATCAATCAGTCAACTTTTTTCAACTGTGTATGAAGCACTTTCCATATACGATATACTTTATTGTCCCTGTAAGAATATTTGTTCTGGACTCCTGCTGCAGTTCCACAAAAGATTAAAAATCCTACATAGTACAAATTAAAAGACAATAACATATTAACCCCAAAAACGTACAGTATGTATATATTCACAGGTTGGACATCCGCATGTCCACAGGCACACCTACTGACAATGGTGAACTATTGCACAAACTTCATGGCTTTGGAACAACTTACATAACATGTAAACAACAAATTGTTAAACCCCCTTCGCATCCATTGACAGAGCCGTTTCTTCAAATTGGTTTTCTTGAAGCCTCGTGGAAAGAAATATTCTTTCCATTAAAAATATGTTGGGTATTACAGTAGGTCATACCAATTGTTCTTGTTATTGCTTCTCTTCCAGCTACTGTCAGTATTCAGGAAAGCTGTTGGAGTGTGTGGTATTGAATGTTAAAACCCAGGCCTGTAGACATTTCATCAAACTCAAATGTATGTGGAGGTGGGAAATTCACTTTTCACAAGGATATACAGCATATCGTCTATGCCAATCTAAAGGCATGTTTTGACCTCATGCACATAGCCTTGCAAAATACTTTAAACATAAAGTTAATTTGATTGAATCGAATGAGTCTCTTGTGGAAACGTTTGATAGATGGCATACATTCAGACAGTCTAGACTGCTTCATTATCTAACTCTATCTTTACAGAAGCTTGAGTTAATCACAACAGACGGTCTGCTAAACATCAGCTGTAACGTTTTGTCCCCAGACCCGGTGGCTGTGCTGTTCAAGGATCCAAGTTTAACTCCTCCAACGCCTTCCCTGATGAGATGCTCAACTTCGTCAAGACCCATCCTCTGATGGATGAAGCCGTCCCCTCTCTAGGACAGAGACCCTGGATTGTACGAACCATGGTCAGGTGAGACTGATCTCAGATAAGCAGTGTAACTCAAAACATGTCCCTGAGTTATTATGTTACAGAGAGGCATGGAATGTTTTTAATGAACATTTTCAGAGAGGCTTTATAATGATCAAATATTATTTTCACTGATATTCAACCGAAGCATAAAACAAGTTTTTCATGGTTATTTTGAGGTTTATCAGGTTTATCAAGATTAGGTGGAGATATTGGAGGATATTAAAAAAGACAAAAATGACTTTATTAACAATGATGTACGATCATTTAGCAAAAAACATAATCATATCCTTACTTTGATGCTTTGTATTCCAGTCATCCACCATGGCAGCCTTTATATGATTTCCTACTAAGTCCACTCATAAAAAACTGTTTCTATTCAATCATAGCGTTAATTACGTTTTCATCCATTCGTATTTGGCAAAGCAAATTAGAAACACAAAAAAAAGTGTTTCTGGAGACTTTACAAACAATGCATGCTGGGAAATCATCTGACTGTGTTTTAGAAACTTAATTTCATGACTTCAGCCAGCACTGAGCATTGCATTCAATCAACTCATGATTAAAAGACTTAAAGTAATGTTATTCATTCGGAAATGGTCTGTTAATGTACATTTTTTAACGGGACGTAACATGATATATATATATATAACTTGTTTATTCAAATACTAATTGATCTCACTTAAACTTGATGTTTCACAGTATAGGAGACAGGGTTGTATACACACATATGGTGTGTGTGTGTTGGGGCTGTGGACTCCTTCTGTTGAGTTTAAACACTTTGGGTGCTGAAGCCTGGTAGCAGTGGAGCAGCTGTAGCTCATAAATGCACTCCCTCACTCTCTCTCTGCACGATCCGCCATATGAAGTCCCGCTGCCCACCAGCCATCAGGGGATTATGGGGAACTCGATGTATGAGGAATATTAAACAGCCAGCACAACATGGCCTCTATTCTTGTCTATTGACTCACACAGGACGGTGTGTAGTTCAGCCACACTCTGCTATTGTTGCTACACAGACCCATTTACTTGACTGATATTATTAATGACTAAACGTCTGCCATAATTAGTTTATTATGCAAATTTGATTGCGTCTCTATGGAATTCACTTCATTTTGCAGTGACTCGAGAGAAAAATATTATGATTTAAAAGCGTCTTTTACACCTACAGTAAACCAATCAGCTGTAATGCACTTAAATCATAAATTTGCCGCTGGGAGCTGCTTCACCGTGCTTTTATCTTTTAAAGAAGGAAATGTCCCAAATGAGTCACGCAGCTCTAAATGGAGTGCTTTAAACCTCTCCAGGTACCAGCTGAATAAGATCGTGGTGGATACAGAAGCCGGGCCTCACCGGAACCGGACCGTCCTCTTCCTCGGGTCGAGCAGAGGGAACATCCTCAAGTTCCTCATCATGCCCAACCAGGACAACAGCGTCACCAACAGCAACATCTTCCTGGAGGAGCTGGAGGGATACAACCCTGATAAGTAAGAGGATAAAACTAACAGAAAATGTGGTTCAATCATAAGAAATATGGTAACTGGCTGTTTTCTAAGTGAGATGAGAAGATCGATGTCTGTAGGTGATGAACAAAGTTACAGCTAGCAGATTAGCCTAGCACTGGAAGCATTGTGAACTCCTTCTCTGTCAGCAGCTCTAAAACTCCCCAATTAACACATTATAACCTGTCTAGTTTGTTTAATCTGTTTGAAAAACGAGATGTGAAAACCTTACATCTTAGTGTTACAGGTGTTATGTTCAGAGTTTCTTTTTCCCACTAACTTCCTGTGGTTATGTTGACACCGTGAGGCTGTTGCATGATGTGTTAATTAGTTATTTTTAGAGACTGTGATATATATTTTTTATATCAGAGCCAGGTAAGCTGATTTGGTCTGTTTCTATTAACGCATTTATTCATTTTATATTTACTGCACAGATATGAGAGTGTCAATTTTCTCATCTTACTCTCTGCAAGGAAGCGTATTTCAAAAACTGATCAGCTATATATTTACGGTACAAGCCTGTGAAGATAGAGAGCTTTATGCAAAATAGCTTGAGACATACAGCAGCGGATGAGAGGGAGGGGTTAAATGACATCTGGGGTTGATGTATACATAACGTGGGACGCTGGTGGTGGGGGGATACGCCTATAAAAAAAGTCGCAAGGGGAAAAAAAAGAGAAACATGACACGTCCTGAATTATGCAGAAAGGCTCACCTATTCTCGGAGAGGTACACATCATTTGTGAAGAAGCTGAGCCGAAGCACCCCCATGCAGAGAATACAAATAGGGCAAACAGAAGAGAAATCAAGATTCGAGGCTGCAATTCATTATCAGGAAATCTGAACATCTCCTAATGAGCTAGAGACATGTTGTATAATAGCATTAGGGGTAAAATCAGAAAGTAATGGAGTGACGATAAAATCTAATTATCCTTAATCGTGACCAAAAATTACAAAATGTCAGGAGGATGACCTCTTATCTGTAGTCTGAAGCTGAATCACATTTAATATCTGGATCCTGACAAAAGATTGGAGTGGGCTCCTTGTCCTTTCTTAATTAGCATTTTACATGAGCTTTTTGGGTTTCATTGGATTCCCGTCACTACGTAATGAACACCGGGTACAATGCCGTTTCAATCTTCATTTTTGCTTTTGTTCTCCGTCGAGAGGTAGCGCTCCACATGGTGGATGGCCGCAGGGCGGAGGGCGGGGCGGGGGGGAGATTGTCACACAGATGCAGGGAGATTTGGCTGGTAATTATCTTTCACCAAGGCTAATTAGAGGCATTTAAACAAGAGAGAACATGATACTAAACACTAGCTTCCTGTCGAGGTAATTGTGCTCGTGATGTATGTACCATTATATTTTGCAATAGGGGAACAAAGACGGTTATTTCTGAAAACCAACTATCTGGAAACGTGTACTCTCTAAAGTGCTTGTGCGGTTTTTGTTTAATAATCAACCTTCTTCTCCGAACACTCCCAATGTATGCTCACCAATTTGTGCCTCAGCTTATTAGCTTCTGCTTCAGACTTGACAAAATGAGGGATAGTGATGGCATGAGCAGACTGTGTGATGAATGAGCTGCTGTGGACTGGAGTCACTGTCTGATGGATAATTTGATGAGTCCACCAGGAGGTCAGTGACAGTCCGACGATCACAGCAGGCTCCCAGCTAATCAGGAGCCAGAGCACGGCCACTTCAGGGTCTTTTTTTTTATGCTCCAGGCCAGGCTACCAACCTCCTCCCCTTCCAAACACAGACAATGAGATGCCTTTTGCCTTCTAATAAACCCCAGGGTACACAGGAACAGGGCCGCTAACACAGTCATCTTTGAGGAAGCCAACACAGAGAGAAATCATTTCTTTGTGATAGGTGCAGTTGCCATAATAAAGCAGGAAATGAGAGAAATGCAGCACTAATAGACCCTATGTCTTCTCCTATTTCCTCCCCGTATCTGATCTAGGTTCTGTCTCCTATATTTTCTTTTCATAAGTCTCTAATATGTGTTTCTTTCCCCTCTCCTGCATATTTTTTTGTTATTTATTCGATTTTTTCCCCTATCCCTACATCCTTTTCTCTGCTTTTTCTGTGATATTGGCTCTGAAGAATGACTCAGAGCTTGGCCTAAACAGGATGATAGATTCGTCTTAATGACTGTTGGTCCGCCGCAATGTTATTACCATAAACCATCCAGATACAACCAACCGGTGCAGGAGCGTACTTGTGTATAAAAAGGTATAAATCTGCTGTATGGAGGCAGGTCGGTGCTTTCTATCGTTGCTCTAAGTGCCAATTAGGAGCGATTCAGCTGCTGGCGGCTGTTTTTGGATGGCCGGCCAACCTGTCAAACCCTTAAACCTCTGGATTGACACCGTAACAAGTGGCTACATTATTTATCTCTTCCAGTTTTATTATAGCTTTTATTTATTGAGCTGTTTACGTTTGGTTGTTTCACATTGAGTCACAAGGAGTTTTTTTTACTGCGGTTATGCTGAGTGAGGTCAGAGGTCTAATGAAGTCTCGGTCGTGTAATTGAAATGACCTAATGAGTTTTGTGTGTGTTCTCCTAACTAACACAAAGATCAAATCACTCCAGTTTAGAGGTCTTTACATTGGCTTGCTCTCTTTCAAAGTAAATACTACCATTTATAAAGCACCGAATGGTTAAAGGCCAAAACACATTTCTGATCTTCTGCTAGATTATGATCCATCTAGATCACTCGGGTCATCTGGGACGGGTTTACTGTCAAAACTAAACATGGAAAGGCAGCGTTCAGTTATTGCGCTCCATATTTCTGGAACAAACTCCCAGAAAACTGCACGACTGCTGCAAATCATTTAAATCCAGGCTGAAGACTATACGTTCTACCTCTGCATTTCATTAAATAACTATTCATACCTTACACTGCACTGTAACTTTTATTCTTGTGTTTTATAACCTGTCTTATTCTATTATAGCTTCTTTCAATTTGTATCGTCTTGGCTTTTTAATTTTCAGAATCAGAATATTCATCCAGGGGGAAACTAAGTGTTGTAACAGTTGCACTATTGTAGAATAAACTAAATAAAAATGTATACAAATATAAGAAGTTGAAGGAAGAAGGTGCAATAAAAGTCCTTTAAGCCACTGGGACACGGCTTTGATTTAAATAGAAATATACTGCATCCCATTTAAATATACTTCAATGTCATTTCATAGTGTGCTTCTGTTGCACTCTACCTTAAAGGTGGGGTAGGTAATTTCGGAGAAACCAGCTTGAGTGCGCGTGCATTTAAAAATACACAACCGGAGAAAATCTGTCACTTCCTTACAGAGCCCCTCCTCCAACACACACGAACGCGCACATGACCAATGAGGGCACGAGATAAGTTGTGCACAGATGGAAGGCTGACAGGCAGGTAGGCCATCCAGTTATTTTGTCTGGGCCGGCTAAAATGATTGGTCGTACTTTTTACAGTACTACAGCTTCCACTGATGATATTTTTTTATGGATTTTTTGTCAAAGCACTTCAGATATTCATTGCTATCGGGATGTTAAGAGCATTCCATGGAATACAACAAAAAGTGTATCTCGAGCCGGTTTCTCAAACTTACCTACCCCACCTTTAATACAATAATACTTTAATGGTCAGATCAAGTCTGAAATTTGACTTGCATCATAGCAGCTCTAACATCAAGATAGACAATATCAAGACACAATGCATGAAAAACAAACAACAAACATAACAGCCCAATCACTGAGAGAAAACAGGCTCAATGACCCGTTAGCGTGCGTTTGACCTGGGATTTAGCTCTGTGTTTACTGTGAGGATTCACTGATGCACAAAGGATGCTTCAGTCTGACCTTATTGAATCGCGGGACCCTGTATCTCCGATTAGATGATAGCAGTTCATATTCGCTGTTCAGAACATGGTTTGGGTCCGAGATAATGTTGTGGCCTCACTAGGTTATTATGGTATGCTGAGTCATA